CTTTCTCCTTCCCTTTCCGCGTTATACCGTCACGGCTGCAAATACAGTCCGAGTTTCTTATTTGGCCCATGAGTCTCATGAATATTTCTCATTTCCACTAGCAAGATTACGTAAAAGCGATTCTATCTTGTATTGCTGCAGATATGCTATTGCAGCTTGCCGCTGTCACGTTTTCTCGCACCTGCAGTCCATTACATCTTCCGATGATTCGTGAGGCATTCCGATTCGTGCTTTCACCACTACGTGTCCAGCATAGCTCCCGGAGAACGGAGACGTAATATGTTGGTAAAATTGCAGTCACCCGAATGTTACAGAGCGGACGCGCGCGCGCGCGCGCGCGTTCCTCCTCACAAAAGGGGAAGTTACTCGTGCATACGCGATACTTGTGACTTTCCCAATTAAATAAAAAAACTCCATCCGAAATATGAATCCGCGGATGTGTGCAAACGTACGCATTTTATCATATTATATGTATGTACGTGTTATACATCCGTACGTATTAACGCGCGATTTTTGTGCATGCGTTGGCCGTATGGATCGTACAAGCGCCCATGGCCCGATATCGCAATTGCCGCTGTAGCGGAGAGTGTAATCATTTCATATGACGCGTAATCATTTTACGAGCGCTATTAGCACATTATGCAATTATTACGCAAGTCCGGATACGAGCGGCCGCGCGCAGTGCCGGGATGATTATCGACAGACAGGTAACGATATGTTGATGGGCCATTGCCGACAGGCACCGTCCGATAATACAACGATATATACAGAAATACGAGCGTGCGCCCCGGATCGGTTATATATATATATATATATATATATATATACATATATATTTTTGGAGGGACAATTGGCATGTAAAATGGTAGCTGTGCCGTATGCCATTATTGTATTGTACCTACAAAATCAAGTAGAACTTCATTTCGAGTGTACTCGACGTACCGACATTGTATACGAACTTGTATACGTTCATGGCCTAATCCATTAACATTTGCATCGATTTATCGTATCGTTTTCCGAAATGGCGAATTGATGCAAATGCTTCGGATCTTTGTGCGCGCGAGCCCGTGTAGCAATTTTAAATTTCTGTCTTTTTTGTTTTTTTCGTTCTTTGGCATCAATTGCGCAAGTTCTCTTTGTTAATATATCGTATTCATCATATACGCTTTAAACCAAATGGTTTTACCGGAAATACAAATCAGACGCGTAATTTGCGTAAAAAATAAAGTAAAAAAAAAAAGAAACATCAGATGGTAAGTACTTTGATTCCGCGGAGAAATGAGAGGCGAACTGCAGAGCCGTGAAAATTCACGTCAAACGTCGAGAAAAAAAAATCTATAAGTCATTCATGCCTCGTCCGGTCCAAGGGAATCGATGGTAAAAATCGGCGAAGCGTGACGTGTCTCGGAAAAATGATGAAGTATTTAATATAAAGTTAATGTAGCTCGCGAAAACGGAAGACTTGATCGATGCCGGCCATCAATCAGTCTTATATCTTGGGCAAATGTGTAGTCATTGATCCCGTTATGTTATGTTTTATAAGCTTTCGCGTTACGATACGCGTAAAAAAAAAAGAAAATAAAGAAAACGCAGTTGCAATAAAGCATTATTCGTGTACAATCGCACGAAATCAAAAATATGCGTGGAGAGACGTACACGTTGTATCAACCGTCGCGTTGCTCGCGACAGCGAGCAAATGTAGATTCTACGAAATTTTCCATCATTTTCTATCGTCAGAAGAATTGTCGTCATTTTTAAAATGGCGAAGGCACATTTAAGAAGGGATATGTCGGGGAATATATTAGATAAATCGCGATTGCGTCGTCGCATGTAATTCCGATACAGTGAATTTTATATTTCAATATATACGTTCATTTGTTCGCCGATTCTGGAATCTGTCACCGATGCGTGGCGGGACGAGGGGATGGCCTGACATCACAGTTATTGCATAATTATGCAAATTACGAATCCCGCCACCCTACGATCACGCGGATGTTTCGATTGGCACAAAAGTATTTGATACATTTGAATACCCGGAGGGCGAAAATATGAAACGGGTTAAATCAAATTTATCCTCTTTCGTGTTGCAACATTACCTGTCATATTCCGAGACCGTGACGTGCCGCGCAGTTTGCAGCATACGAATCAAAATGCGTCATATCCAGTGTGATAGACCATCGAGTGTCAGTACACTTTGTCGGCATTTAATTTCGGCGGTCTTCAAAGCAAAAGTGCTTGATATTGCTTTTTCAGATTTTTACAAACGGCCGAAATCTCGCCAAATGTTTCACGTACGCAATTAAAAAGGTGGCAAACGATTCTTGGTTTGCTTTTAATCGATTTACATAACACGTAATTCCCGAACACGATATACCATGTTAATAACAGGAACGATAAAAAAAAGGCTATTACAAGTAGTGTGAGTTTGAATAAAACGCGATAACAAATGTTCTCTCGTTTATTCGCGTACGTTCCAAGTTCATAACGTTTTCCAACTTCATCCGAGAGCGGGCATCGACATTGTTCCACATTGTCATTTCGCAATTGATATCTATTATAAATTTAACCTATTATGCATTCCGTCTGCATTCAACAGACGGATTAATGCGGCGTCTAATGACGCGCGTGATGCCTATTGCGCGAGGCGATTGTGAAAACCGCGTGTATATCGCGCGACGCGCACCGCCCCGTGTCGGCGTCCGTGTTTTACGAAATCGTGAAAGGCACACGGGCCCTCTCACGCGTGGAGAACAAGTGGAAAACCCGTCGGTATGGGTCGGCATCGGGTGCCGCAAAGCGGGGAGTCAGCCGCGCCGGGGGTTGCAAAGGGGTGGATGCGTCGGCGTGTTGCGCCGTAGCTTTTGCCGCGGCGTCTGGCAGTCCATTGGCGAAGCCCTAACGAGCAGCGGGCGAGAGAGCGGAGCATTCCCACGGAAAAGATTCATAAGAATTCGAGCGAGCGAAAGTGGAACGTGCTCTTTTTCGCGCGCGCATCGACACGCCGATTCATCTTTTCCTTCTTTTTTTTTTCTCCTGCACGCTGCTCCGGTGCTCGATTGTCGGCGACGTTGCGTCCTGCCCGCACATGTTACATCGCGGTAAATGAATGTCAACGCACGAGTAAACATTGTCTTCTTGGTGCAAACTCGAAGCGGCTCTGTGAAGTGACGCGTGTCGTTCGAGGAGCCGAGCAGAAAATTTCAAGAACTCGCGGTGCATTCGCGGCTGGAACCTCGACCTGGACGAGTATCGTGAAATTTTAGTGCTTCGGACCTCGAGTCTGTCGGCGACATGTGATCGTGCACGAGAGAGAAAGGAGAGAAAGAGAGATAGATAGAGAAAGAAAAAGAAGAGAAAGAGAGAGAAAGAGAGAGAGAGAGAGAGAGAGAGAGAGAGAGAGG